GCTGCGGGCTGAGCTGCAGGGCTGAGCTGTGGGACTGAGCTGAGGGACTGAGCTGCAGGGCTGAGCTGCGGGACTGAGCTGCAGGGCTGAGCTGCGGGCTGAGCTGCAGGTTGAACTATGGGTTGAACTCCAGGCTGAGCTGTGGACTGAGCTGCAGGGCTGAGCTGTGGGACTGAGCTGCAGGGCTGAGCTGCAGGGCTGAGCTGAGGGTCTGAGCTGCAGGGCTGAGCTGCAGGTTGAACTGCGGGCTGAGCTGTGGGCTGAGCTGCAGGGCTGAACTATGGGCTGAGCTGCAGGGCTGAGCTGCGGGGCTGAGTTGCAGGGCTGAGCTGCGGGGCTGAGCTGCAGAGCTGAGCTGCAGGTTGAACTGCGGGCTGAGCTGCGGGGCTGAGCTGCAGAGCTGAGCTGCAGGTTGAACTGCGGGCTGAGCTGCGGGCTGAGCTGCAGGCTGAACTAGCTGCTTGATTTGGGGAATACGGCTTTTACTTGAAAGGGCAACTGACAGAGAAACTCTGTTGTTTTATTTTGTTTTGTTTTTTTATTTTGTTAATCCTCACCCAAGGATATTTTTCCATTGATTTTTAGAGAGCAGAACGGAGAGAGGGAGGGAGAGAGGGGGAGAGAGAGAGAGAGAGAGACATCGATGTGAGAGAGACACATCTATTGGTTGCCTCCCACTTGACCCCGACATGGAACCTGCAACCCAGGTACCTGCCCTTGTCCTTGACCAGAATCAAACCCTCGACTGCGGGGTCCTAGGCCAATGCTCTAACTGCCAAGCCAAACCGGCCTGTGCAAAACTGTGCTTTTTGAGACTTCAGTGTCTGGCCGGCTGTTTTTTTGTTGTTTGAAAATGAGCAAAGGGAACCTGACACTTCAAGGAAAGCAACTAAAAATACATGTTACTAATGAGACAATCTGAGCTCTCAAGCAAAAATTCAATTTTTGAAAAACTTCTCACGATCACCATGAGGTTAAGAGCCAATATACTTAAAGACTTTTACATTAAGATCCTTATCGTGTATGCCAATATTTCACAAATGACCAATGCCTGATATTTCCAAGTCACCACAGGTGAATGTCCGTTCACAATACAAGGCAGGTCCACATATTGTTTGGTAAAGTATGAATAGTTCACTAAGAGGGTTTCTGCACTTTGAGTACGTTTCAAAAACCCTGCCCCTTGTGGAGTTCTGGTGTAGTATCAAAAGAAAATCGACAGTTATACAGAGAGGGTAACAAAGTATCTCTTCCTTATCCAACTCCATATCTCTGAGTGAGGATGGATTCTTTTCATATACTTGAAGCGAAACATTTCTGCAACATGCTGAAGGAGATCTGAGAACCCAGCTGTCTTCTCGTAAGCAGATATTAAAGAGATTTAGGACAATGTAAAATAATATCTCTCTTTTTTTTCATTATTTTTCAGTTTGGCAAAATAAAGTTGTATTTACTACAATTAAATTAAAATGGCCCAGTGTGGCTCAGTGGTTGATTGTTGACCCATGCACCAAGAGGTCGCAGGTGCAATTCCTAGTCAGGACACATGCCCCAGGGGCATGCAGGAGGCGGACGATTGATGTTCTCTCTCATCGATGTTTCTACCTCTCTCTCCCTCTCCCTTCCTTTCTCTCTAAAATCAATAAAGAAAAAAAATGTTTAAAAAAATTAAAATGGCATATGTTTAATGGGATTTTTAAGTGAATTACTATTTTAACTTGTTCTCAATTTGAATGTTCAAAATGGTAACTATCAATAAACAAGACACATCTAAGCAAACGCTCTTTGGGATCCTTGACACTTTCTAAGAGGGGGTCCTGAGACCCACAAATTGAGGAGTGGGGCCTGGACACATGTACGTATTTCCTTCCGTTCAAACCCTACGCTCCTAGTGAGACCACTGCCTACGTTTTTCTTCTTTTTTGAGTTTCCTGACAATTCCCAATTCATCTGTAGTACAGAGATAATGGGACATCCTTATGCCCTTAGTTCAATTAATGATCAAGATCAAATTTATGAACTTCCTCCATTCCAGCTCATCTCAGTTGTTCTATTTCTGAGGCACAAGAACACACGTTCCGGTCTCAACTCGTCTACCACTTCATTCAGCAAACATGTAGGAGCACCTACTACACACCACGCTCTGAGACCACAAAGATCAATGAAACAGAGCCCCGACCCCGATGAGGTCCAACCCAGCCCCTCCGCTGCATGTCCCCATACCACACACATTAAAAGAGAAATGCTTATTGAAGGACTACATCTCCATTGTTTTGACAAACCTAGAAAAATAGTCCAAAACTTACATCAGCTATTTTAACCTAATCAAGACTCTTCAGAGAATATAAAGATACAAAATCAAAGAATAATAAACCTTATGAGTGCAATCCAAAGCCATCCTTCAAAGACTCTCCTATTCAGGCCAAAACTTTTGATGTGAAGGTGGGGTCATGAGGGCGCACAGCTGGGCAGACCTCTGGATGGAGCACTATCCAGGTCCCGGGGCCCGGCTCCGCTCCACCAGAGTCAGAGCTGAACAGAGAGTGCAGATGAAATCATTTCTCTTTTACCCACTGACCCTCTGTTGCCCATGGAATGTGGTCAGCCACGACTCCAGCCAGAAACCTGAGTAAGCAACCCAAACGCCTATCAGTGTCCATGAACACATTTTTTAAAATGCAACAGAGCAAAGTTTGCACTTGGAAACAAACAACTGAAAAATCACCTCTGACAACCAGAAGTAATTTATGACTTCTTTTTGCAGAATCATGGTAAATTAATTGTTTCAGCAGAAGGAAAAAAGTACTTTATTGTATATACTTAAAAGATACAACCAATAATAATATGAAATTCTAGCTTCCAACTACTGCTTTCAATATTCTTTGGGGAAGCACATTTGCTTTTAATTTCAGGAGTGGTTGGACCTTGGGAACTCCAACTTGGTTTACAATTTCAGGGCTTTAGTTCACAGAAGACACTCTGACAAACAATTTTTTTTCTTTTAAAACAATCATCATAATGACTTCTCTCAGATTTTTAAATAGGGTACACTAAATATGAATAAGTTTTCATTTGAGTTGTTATTTGAGGTTAATAAAAGTGACAAACATAGTATCCCCTATTACTAACACAATGATTTATAATTAATATTTTTTTAATCTACAGGCCTATTGCAAAGACAGCACTACTTAACAGATTTAATCTAAATCCATCTTTCATACCCAATGAGTAAATAACAAGACAAAGTAAATCTTCTAAGGATAACAATGGACAATTTATTCTCATTCTCCATATTCTCTAATAAATCTAAAATACTGAACCACCCAACCACAACCAACAATATAATTTGCCTTACAGTTTAACAAATTCATGTAAAGTCTGGAATGACTTAATTGCCTGTCTTTAATCACTATTTCAGTCTTCAAACTAATGAAATCTCTTCATCCAGAAGTGATTCCAGGGAAGGAAGGTAGAGATAAGAACTGGGTTTAGGGGAGGGGATATACCAAATCCAAACAAAATTATGTAAATCAAGGCCTGAGTTAAACCAGACAGCTCAACATATAAGACCTATGTTAAGATCTTTAAAAAACTAATTAGGTAAAAGAGGACATTTGGGTTAGAAGTCCCTTCGGGGCTATGTATGAAAGAGAAAACTAAATTCCACTTAGGATTAAATCTCTGAGAAGTATATCTCTATTAAGAATTATATCTCTAATTATCTCTTTAATATCCTCTAGGCTGTGAATTTGCTGCTCCATCCATTGAACAGACATAGCGAGCTATTATGAAAAAAAAAAAAAAAAAATCACAGGGGATTGAAACAGACAATAATAATAAATGAGCATTTTAATTGAAGAAAACCCCTCACCTCCCCCAAGTAGAAAAGAAAGCAAGAAAACAAATCCATGAGCCTCAGTCTCTCAAGCATGTTATGTCTGGGTTACTGCCAAGTCTCACAAACCACATTTGATTTTTTTGTGTTTTTGGTCAAGTGACACCAGAATGACTTTGAGGGGAGCAGGGAGGGACAGAAAGAACTTAGAAAATGGCAAACAAGCGTTTTCCAGAGCATAGCTATATCATTTCTGCTTGATATCAAGACAACATTGGCAGTAGTTCAATTAAAAAACAAATCAATGGTACACGGAGGTAGCACCCTAAAATATAAGCCAGGGAAGGCCAAACTTGGAATTCTCTTGGCTTGGACTGTGAAACACCAGCTTCTCAGCAGACGGAACAACCTGTACCTGTACCACGCATTGAACAACGCAGCCTGGTCTCCACCAACGGCTGCTCATTGCCGACCACTCTCCGCACAGTATGCGCTTTAGGTCAGGAGGGAGGAGAGAGGATGACTCTGCATCAGAAGATAGTGCCTAAAACGTGGAGGCAGATGGAGTCAGGACCCTCCCTACACCTGGCTCCGCACACTGAAATTAGTCACTGTCTCTGAAGAAAATGCCCAAGGCTGCTGAGGATGTGAAAGTTAATACCAGCGGGGAGTCAACTGTCATTCTGTCCCCCATGGCCACACCCTCGAGAGAGCTGAGCTGTAATGCTGATTTCTACCAAAGTTCTTCATTTTGGAACAGAAATGTCTTAAGTCTGAAATCACCCATTCTCCAGTAGACTTCCCACCTGAGAGGTGTTTAGTTTCGTGCTGGGATTCAACTTATATAACTGGATGGGGGGGCGTCTGTCAGGGGAAGGGGGGCACTTCAGAAACGGCTGAAGATTTCTCCCTAGCCTTATACATATGGCTGCTACGAGGCCACCTACAAAGTATCAACTGTTTACTGTCGAGTCTTGACCAGGATTTAAGCTACATTTTACGTAACGCGCGTTAGTCTTTGTGCCCGAACATTTTCATACACTCCTGTCAGAAAAAAAAATCATCAACAACACAGGCCAGTACTTATAGAAAGCAACATTAAGAGAATGATCTTTCCGAAATGTATAGCAACAAATAAGGCATCAAGGACGACAAAAATCATTACCTCTGCTCTCTGTGTTCTGGGGAAAGCAGTCGACTTTTCTATGGCATAAACCTCCACCAGGTAAAGGCAAGCTCCCTGCTCCCGGTCCAGGATGGCTGCCGTCTGGATCATTCCAGTCTGTCTTCCGATGGTAAAGAGACGCCCGACGGTTTTCTCTTCACAACGCACCGAAACAATGTAGTACTCCACGGAGGCCTCAGATCCTCGAGGGCTGGCTGCCTCTATTGAGATGACGTTGGTACCAATGGGCTCCCCTTCCTTCAAAATAGTTATGTATTTGGGTTGAGTGAAAACAGGCCCATCGAGGCCCTGAAGGATGACGGTCAATTCCGTGGTGGATTTCCTCCTTTCGGGGCCAAGGTCTGTTGCTGAAACAATGAGATTATAGATCAGCTGTGAAGGGACCAGCGCTGATGCCACTCTCAAGTCTCCACTGAAACGGTCCACGACAAAGGTGTCCGTGTCCCCGTTGATGATCTCGTATTCCACCTCTCCGTTGGCACCCTCATCCGGGTCCGCGGCCATGACTGTGGTCAGCACAGAGCCAATCACAGCGGAAGGGTCTGCGGCAAGGGCATTTTGTGATATGAACACCGGAACATTGTCGTTGAGGTCTGTGACCAGAATGGTCACGTTTTTCAAAGCATACCGCCTGGTTTCTATAGGCACCGCTTGATCGTTGGCTTTCACCGTTAACTCGAAGAGATTAGCGAATTCCCGATCGATTTCCGCACTGGTATATATAGTGCCTTTGACTTCATCTATGCCAAAGTGGTTGCCCCTTGGCATCTGCTGGATGATCGTGTAGGCTAGTTGCCCGTTGATGTCTGCGTCAGGGTCATGGGCAGTCACTGAAATGACAGACGTTCCGATGGGAATGTTCTCAACAATAGACTTGAAAATGTCCCCAGGAGGAAAGCTAGGAGGGTTGTCATTAAAGTCCCTCACATGTATAACCACCGACATTGTAGATGAACGAGGAGGCCTTCCTTGGTCTTTTGCTGTGATATTTAGTTTGTACAAAGACTGTGTTTCAAAGTCCAGTTTCTTGGCAAGAAAAATACTCCCAGTGTTTGGGCTGATGCTAAAAGTCCCGTGGTTGTTAGTCCCGGTGATGCTGTAGTGTAAATCAGCGTTGTCGCCGGAATCCGAGTCGGTCGCAGTAACAGAGGACACGAGTTCACCAATTCTCATGTTTTCCAAAACATCCACAAAGAGTGTTGATTTAGGGAAAGAAGGGGTATTGTCGTTTTCATCTAAAATATCAATATTTAAGGTACAGGTGGAATTGAGGGAGACTACCCCTGAATCCACTGCCTGAATTACCAGGGAATAAGCAGGTGTTGCTTCATAGTCTAATTTTCCAATTAGTGTCACCTGGCCAGAGGTACTATCTATAGCAAACTGTCTTTCTTCATTTCCTTTAATTACGGAATAATGAATAAGTCCATTATTACCTTCATCAACATCTGAGGCAGATACTCTTAACACCTGTGTCAGGTTGGCTGCTGATTCTGAGATGGAGGCTTGGTAAAAGTCTTTTACAAACTTGGGGGCATTATCGTTTATATCCTTCATGTAAACATGCACGGTGGCCTGATCCTTGAGGGGCTGCGGGAGCCCCTGGTCTGTTGCAACGACTGTAAAGCTAAACACTGCTGTCCCTCTGCGTCTCATAAGAGACTCCCTGTCAAACTGATGAGTGCTGGTAATTATCCCACTGAGAGCATGCAACTCAAAGTCTGGCTGCACCATCTCAAAAGAATATCTTACTTCTCCATTTGGCCCAAAGTCTTTATCGACAGCACTGACTTTGCCTACAAATGATCCAGCTTTCTGCTCCTCTTCAAAATAAAATGAATAATTGGTACTGTTAAAAAGAGGTCTGTTATCATTTACATCTTCTAAAATTACAGTAACATTCACAGTAGCACTAAGGGGTTCCACCGCTCTGTCAGAAGCAACAACCAGTAAAATATATCTGTCTTGAAGTTCACGGTCCAGTTCACTTTTTATATACAATTGCCCATCTGGGAATATGCCAAAAGCATCCCCTGTATTTCCTGCAGCAATGCTGTATGCAATTTCACCATTTGCTCCTGAATCCTTATCAAAAGCTTGCACTTTAAAGAATCGAGAATTCACAGGTTCTGACTCAGAAAGGGTGACCTCATAAGAGAGCTGGTCAAATACCGGCGGGTTGTCATTAACATCGTGGACATACACTGTTAAGATAACACTAGAGGAACGCTGTGGAACACCCATATCAGATGCCAAGACCTCCATCTGGTAGGAACCAGCATGGACATCCAGGGGCCCTAGCAGACTAACGTGACCATTCTTTTCATTGATAGTAAACAGGTTCTTGGGGTTCTGCTTCAGGCTATAGAGTACCATGCCATTGACCCCTTCGTCGGGGTCCACAGCTTTGGCCTGGAAAATGCTGTGACCTGCCTGCCAATTCTCCACCACATTCACACTCTCTACTGCCTGAAGGAAATGGGGAGAGTTGTCATTCAAATCCTTAACTGTTATGTTAACCGTAGTATCTCCAGTCACCGTGCCTCCACTAGCCACTACCACCAGCTGATAAAAGGACTGCTCTTCTCTGTCAATCACACTCGCTGTGGTAAGCTGTCCAGTGACCTGGTTGATAGCAAACATACCTTTCTGATCCCCAGTAGTAATGACATAACTGATGTTGGAATTGAGATCCATGGTGGATGCAGACACACTGCCCACATGATATCCCAGAGCCACATTCTCAAAGACCACGAAGCTGTAGGCAGCCTGGCTGAATACAGGTGGGTTGTCTTGAGTGTCCAATACAGTGATGGTTACTACTGCCTGGTTGGGAGACTGTAAATTGCCACCATCAGTAGCCACTATTTGCAACTGATAAGCTGTTTTTTCTTCCCTGTCTAGGGCCATTCTTGTAGAAATAACCCCACTCTGAGCATTGACCTGAAACCGAGACCTGTCCCCAGCTGATATGCTGTATTTGACAGTTCCATTGAGACCCAAGTCGGGGTCAGTGGCAGACACTGTGGTGATGTAGCTACCCCCAGGCTCATTCTCCTGAATATGAGCAAAGTATTGGACTGGGTAGAACACAGGACTGTTGTCATTCATATCCAGGAGACTCACATTTATGCGAGCCACTGAGGACTGGGGAGGGGAGCCCAGATCTGTGGCCAGAACCAGCAGGGAGTAGAAAGCTTGCTCCTCTCTGTCCAAGGAGGCGATAGTACTCAACCTCCCAGACACAGGGTCCAGACGAAAAGCCCTCTGGTCAGTCTCAGCCTCTTGGAGGGAGAAGCGCACTGTCCCATTGTCCCCCAGGTCCCCGTCAGTTGCCCCCAGCACTAGCAGTTCTGTCCCTGATGGGGAGTTCTCAACCACAGACACAGCATACCCTTCTGGCTGTCTAAAGACTGGCTTTTCATCATTCACATCCAAGAGAGTTACTACAAGCTGGGCGTAGGAGACCTTGGGGTGAACGCCCTGGTCCCGAGCACTGATATTCAGTACAATTTGAGAAGCAAGTTCTCGGTCCAAGCCCCCAGCAGCCCCTGTAGTTACCAGGCCGCTATGCTCACTGATATGGAACCAACCTAGTCCATTGCCAGAGACGATGCTGTAGCGCAGGTTAGCATTGAGACCAGAGTCGCCATCTGTGGCAGACACGCCACTCACATAGCTTCCTGGGGGCGCGTCCTCGCTCAGGTTCACCCTGTACACTGGCTGTGCAAAGACAGGAGGGTGGTCATTGATGTCATTGACAAAAATCACCAGGCTTGCCACAGAAGAGCGCGCCTGGACCGCTGCGGCAGGGGGCGCCCCGTAGTTATCCGAGACGGAGACGGTTAGGTTGTAGGAAGGGATGCGCTCGCGGTCCAGGGCGCTGGCCACTTTGATGAGGCTCAGGTTGGGCACTTTGCTGCTCTGCACCTCAAAGTGGCGCTGCTCGTTGCCAGCAAGGATTTGCACCGATATGTTCCCATTGGCCGCGGGGGAGTCTGCGTCCGTCACAGTGAGCAGAGCCACCACCGTGCCCACCTGGGCGTTCTCATCCACCGAGGCGTAGCGCGAGGTGGCAGGGAAGTAGCGGAATTTCACCACGGGGTCATTGTCGTTGACATCCAGGAGCTGAATCAGCGCCTCGGCGCGCCCGGTGAGGGAAGGCACGCCTCGGTCCAGAGCCTGCACCGTCAGCGAGTACTGGCGCCGGGCCTCGAAGTCCAGGGGCTCCCGCACCGTAATAAGCCCCGTTTCGGGGTCCATCTGGAAGGGGGTCCCCTCGTCCTGCAGCCGATAGCGGATGTCCGCGTTGGTGCCCTCGTCCGCGTCCGCCGCCGCCACCTGGAGGACGCTGGAGCCCACCGCTGCGTCTTCAGGCACCCCCGCCTGGTAGTGGGAACTGCCAAACACCGGGGGGTTGTCATTAATGTCCTGCACAGTCACATTTACCTGAAGGTAGCCCCGCCTCTTGGGCTCGCCCTTGTCCTTCACTTCTACCAGCAGCTGGTACTGCGGCGTGACCTCTCGGTCCAGCCCGCCTTCGGACACCAGATGCAGGAAGGCGCCCTCGCCGCTCGGGTTCAGGGTGATGTCCAGGCGGAAGCGACCCTCCTCGTTGCCCTGGATGATGCGGTAGGAGTGGTGGTCCACGCCATTGGAGCCGATGTCCGCATCGGTGGCTGTATCCAAGATGACTTGGCGCCCGCTACTGCTGTCCTCCTTGAAAGTGACTACGATGGAGGGGTCCGGGAAGACCGGGGCGTTGTCGTTTAGGTCCCACACCAGCACTCGCACCTCCGTGGGGTAGGTGGGCGAGCTGGAAAGGACCACCAGGTTTATCACGTCGCTGGGCAGGCTCTCGCGGTCGATGGTGGCCGTGGTGTACAGGGTCCCCGTGCTGCTGTTTATTGCAAACAGGGCGTGGCTTTCGCTGAGCCGGTAGGTGAAGCCGGGCCGCGTCTGGATGGTGCCCACCAGCGTGCCAGGGGGCTGTTCCTCCAGCACTTGGAACACCTGGCGCTGCTCCGCCCCGCCGACCCGGGCGGGCCCCGGGAGCAGGGACAGCAGCCCAAAGACGCGCAGGAGCTGGAGTACCGAACGGGGAGGCAGCGGGAGCCACGCGCGGCCAGGAGCCCGGCGTGCGGCCAAGTTCATGGTCCCGGCTCCCTGGAATGGCGTGGTCAACAGAAGGAATCGGTGAGGCAAAAAGAATGCGATGGCCGGGATGAAGAATCCCGGCAAATGCAGCCGATGGCCCCGAGGGCTCTGCTATTGCAACGAGCCTCCAGCCCGGCAAAAGCAAGTCGCCTCAGCGGAAGGCTCCATCCACACAGCCATTTGGACGCGCCGTGCCAGAGACAAGGGGGACGAGAGGTGGCCAGGCAGCCCGCCGGCGCTCCTGGGTGCGGGCTAGTTCCAGAAAAGTTTCTCAAACCTCCAGTCTGTGCCCCCTCCACGCTGGTTCTGAATCCGGAGAGTCTGAGCGTTTTCGCCCCGGTCGCCGAGAGCTGGGAGAAGAGGTGGCTCGCGTTTAAGGTGTAGGAGCAATCGTTGCAAACACTCTTCAGAAACTTTGGGACTTGCCCGCGGCCAAGAAGCTGGAGGGCAGGACGGACGCGGGTGGCGCTGCGGGCAGAGGATGGCTGCGCACGGGGAGGGGCGGTGGGGAGCCGGGAGGTGAGCGAATTCCTTCCCTAAAGGCTGGAAACCGGGGGTCTCCTCGGGTCCCCAGCCGTCAAGAACAGGCTGCGCCGCCCCTCCACGGGCTGCACGAGCGGCTGCGAGGCCCAGGCGGCGGCGGCGGCGCGCGGGCGGCTGGCGAACAGCGCTCCCGGCGCGGGCGCTAGGGCTTCGGTGCCCGCGAGCGCTGCGCCGTGTCCTCCTCCGGCAGCCGCCGCCGCCGCCCCTGCTGCGGGCGCAGGCAGCGTCCAGCGCTCCTCGGCATGTTTTATTTTACTTCAGCCGGGGCGCCTACCACCCCGTTATTTGTACATCCACAGTGAGCGCAGGTCCCCCGTTCTTCTCGGCCTCGCGGGGGTCGGGCGGCTGCGGCGCGCGGTCCCCGCGTCCCCTCCTCCCAGCATGCCGGGGGGACCGTCGCGGGCGGCCCCGGCGGAGCCCGCTCTGGAGCGCCTCGCCTCTGCCCCGTGCTCTTTGCTTCGACGGTCCCGGGTCAGTTTCACTTTGTAATCCACAGGCTTTAGGTTCGGGGCGGTCGGGCCCCTGTCTCCTGCGCCGTCGGCGGGGAGGCTGGGACGCGGCGCCGGGCAGTGGCGGCGCCCGCGGCAGCTCGGGACGGCGCCTGTCAGCGCTCTGCTGCTCGCCCGCCGGGCTGGAGGTTGTGCGGCGGAGCAGCCGGAGCTCGGGAGCCCCTCTCCGCGCCCGCGAGTCCTCACTCTCCCCGCCCCTTCCCCGCCGCACGCGCGCGCGCACACGCACCGCGCGCCGCCGAAACACAAACAGAGGGGCGGGCGGACCGCGGGCCGAGCCCAACTCCGAAACTTTGCTCGCCACCCATTGATCCGCCGTGGGCTCCGGCGGCCTGCCCCTCGCGCCGGCCTGTCACCCACGCCCCGCCCCCGCCCAGCCCATTGGGCCCGGCGCTGCCCCCGCCCGCGCGCCCGCGGCCTCGGCCGCCGACTGGCTGCTCCCGACGCTAATCACTCCCGCGGCTCCGGGGGGGACTGTGGGCGGTCGGGGGTGGGACGCCCGCAAGTCGGAGGCGCGGAGAAGGGGGCGATTTTTTCTTTTCTTTCTTTCTTTCCTTTTTTTTTTTTTTTCCTTTTTGGTCAAATCTTGGCCGGCGTCAGAGCAATAACAGCAAAAAGCTGCCGCAGAATAGATGGGGGTGAGGTCAGGTTTGCAGATAAATAACTTTAGTGGCGGGGTCTGGGGGAAGACCGTTCTGTTGTTATGTTAGTAATAACTCAGGGGTAAAGGGGTCGAGAGAAAGAAAAGAGAGGCGGGGGGCGAGGGTCTGCTGGGGCGGGGAGGAAGGATTAAGCAAAGCCTGTCTGGGAATGCACAGCGCACACGGGCTTTAACCGTTTCCTGCCCCTTCTCTTCCGACGGACCTGACAGAGGGCAAACCGGCTCCTCCCCATGCCGCCGCGGTCTCGGAGCGTGCTCCGCGCGCTCGGGCTGCCTCGACCCTAACCCTGCGCCCATCTCCCGGCCCACCCACCTCCCCGGTGACCAGGGGCACCGGGGCCTCGGCACCCACCGCACTTTGGACTTCCTATAGGAAAAGCCAGGGGAACTCGATGTTTGTTTTGTTTCCCTTCCCAAATGGATCCCAGGTGCCAGTAGCCAAACCTTCGAGTTTCAACAATAACAATGGTAGCCCTTGGGAAAGACGGAGCCCTTTTCCTGTTGCAAAGTTTGGAATTTTGATCTCTGTTGGAATATTTCCCCCTTGACATTCTGTTGCCAGAGGAGTCCTAAGGAAGTTTTGTTTTTGCTGGATTTGGGGGGGAGGGGGGCCTGGGGAAAGGATAGATATGAAAAAATATATAAATAAATAGAATGAACTTGAAATTTGACAAAATGCTCACGTGCCGCGTACTGCATAGATGAACTCCCCTGCCATTGACTGCGGCTAATTTGTGTAGTCGCGCACATCGCTTCTTTAAAAGGAAAAAAAAAAGGGGGGGGGGGGTGACTAGGAATCAGGTCAGTATTCATTTCCCTTTAAGAGAAACCAGTTTGAAAATAAGAATTTAAACCAAACAATGCAAATACAATAGAGGGTATATGTCAGGCATTTCTGCTACAGTGACTCCCTTCAGATGTAAAACTTTGCTGAGCCCAGGGTAGATTCAGCCGCGAGTACATGCTGCCCTCTGCTGTTCTGTGAATCTTAACGTCTTGGGGCGCCTGGTTTCTTGCTTAAAATTAAATGCAGAGACTAGAAGGATCCGATTGCAAGGCTAATTCCTCCTTCTTGCCTGGGGATAGTGGCAAAGGAAAAAGATCTTGAGGAATCTCCTACTGCCTTTCTTTATTTAAGGTAAAAAAAAAATGTTTTAAGAGCAATAGAGCAGAGAGCAAATTCAAATCCTCGGATGCAGACAGCCTGTAACCCAAAGCATCTATGGAAACCTGACTACTAAAAATGTGATCGCCGGTTCTTTGTTTAGGTTAGAACGGTCACTTCTGCATATTCCTCTACCGTATGTGCCATTACGTACATACGCTATGTACATGTGGCAGTATATATACAGTATATATATTGACTGAATTGGAAACAGACAAGAAAGTTAAATTCTATCATTTCTGTATTTTTAGAACTCGAAAACTTTTGAAAGCATTGGAAGCTGTTCTTTTAAAAGAGAGACATCTTTAAGCCTGTTCTCAAAACATCCTCTGCCAAAATACCACTATTTTGGAGTAATTTAGCCAACAAATATTTGTAGGTTAAAGTAGAACCAAAATTTTTACAAGCCATGGCTATGATGTGTGATTTTAAGAGAATATTAGGGCTTTTTCTTTTGTTGTTGTGTAGTAATGCTTCACAATTCGGTAATTCAGGTATGAAGAGGTAGAAAGAACACATTTAGGTTCTTGCTGTAGGAGATGAGGTCGTTTGGAGAGCTTGTGGGTGGGATACCTTTGTATTTAGTATCAATACCGTTATATTCGCATCATTCATGAGTGGATTTAATTTGGGGGAACAGGTGAAAATCATTGGTTTTGTTGCGTGGGAAGTGTTCCTTCTGTGTAATCTATATTTTATATTATATATATTCATTTAAAAAAACAAGATATGGCAGCCCTGGCTGGTTTGGCTCAGCGGTTAGAGCATCGGCCTGCGGTCCTGAGAGACCCGGGTTCGGTTCCCGCTAAGGGCACATACCTCGGTTGCAGTTTGTCCCCGGCCCTGGTCGGTCTTGCGGGTGGTGGCCACTCGGTGTGTCCCTTTCACATCGATGTTTCTCTCTCTCTCTCTCTCTCTCTCTCTCTCTCTGTTCCTCTCTCTCCCTCCCACTCTACCTGAATAAAAAGTGGAGAAATGTCCTCGGGTGAGGATAAAAAAAAAAAAAAAAAAGATATGGCAAAATTAAGCAACACAGACAATGTGTATATTCAGTACATAAAATACCTTTTGAACAATTCTGAAAGAGGATTATAAAAAATAACTTAGATAATGGTAGTTATTTGAATGGAAGCTTTCCATGATAACTACTTTAAAGTAACACATTGATTTATAGATAAAACCTGCACATAAAGTTATAATTTATGTGTAGTAGGTACATGATTTAAAGTATGATATAGATAATGATTTTAGTGAACGACAAGGAATGAGGCCTTTATTTTATTTTATTTTTCTCCCTTGGTTTCAAAAGTTGTGGTAACATAGCCCATGCTAAAAAGTAAAGATGCTCCTCTTAATAAAACAAAAGTAAGTAAAATTAAGCCCCCCCAATAGGTAAAATGAAAGAAAATAAAGACATATAGAGATTGTATGCATGAATAAACAAGGATTATGTTATTTTTGCCCTTCCAATAAAGGCTTAATTATTTTTTTAATATGTATATATATTTTTTATTGTTAGAAGTATTACAGATAACCTCTTTTTCCCCATTGATCCCCTCCTCCCTACTCCCTCCCCGCTGCCTTCTCCAACCTAATGTCTGCATCCACTGGTTGTGCATATATGCTTATAAGTTCTTTGGTATATCTCTTCCCACCCACCTCCATCCCTCTGAGATTTGTCAGTCTGTTCCCTACTTTCATGACTCTGGACCTATTTTGGTTGATAGCTTATTTTGTTCATGATATTCCATAAATAAGTGAGATCATGTGATACTTGTCTTTCTCTGATTGGCTTACTACTCTCCAGGTCCCTCCATGTTGTCTCAAAGGGTAACACATCCTTCTTTTTTGCAGCTGCATAGTATTCCATTGTGTATATGTACCACAGCTTTTTCATCCACTCATTTACTGGCAGACAATTGGGCTGTTTCCAAATCTTAGCTATTGTAAATAGTGCTGCTATGAACATAGGGATACATATATTCTTTCTGATTGGTGTTTCAGGCTTATTAGGATACATTTCTCAAAGTGGGATCACTGGGTCAAATGGAAGTTCCATTTTTAATTTTTTGAGGAAACACCATATTGTTTTCCTTAGTGGCTGCACCAGTCTGCATTC